TCCATTGGCCCCCCCCCCCTCCCCCCCCGGCCCCCCGGCCCCCGGGCCCCCCAGTCCTACGGGTGTGGTCGGACCGGCGTCCACCCATGCTGGCTAACACATTCCGGCACACCGCGGGGAAGCCACGCGCGGGCATTGTTCTCACCGCCCAATGCGTTCCAATGCGTCCAATGCGTCCAATCGCGCAACCGCGAGATATCTGTTATCGTCCCCACTCCCCACTCCCCACGTCCCCAACTGCGGCCCCACAAGAGTGAGAGGATGGCGGCAGGCTGCTGGGAGTTGAGATGACTGGCGGCTGGATCACTGGCGACTGGCGACGCGGGGAATGCCTGTACGCGTGCTTGTTATCTGGGACGGCCCGATTCGCTGTCGCTGTTGCTGGCAGCTGGCCGATCAGCGATTCCGTTTGGCCATCCAGTGGGCAGCGATCAGCCGCAGTCAGGCTCCCAGTCACTCTCAGTCACTCTCAGTCACTCTCAGTCGCCGCCATCGCGCCATCGCGCCATCGCGCCAGTCGGATGGTCAGGCTAATCGTAATCTATGGATCAGCAGGAACGGGGAGATCGCTGGGTTCTGGGTTCTGGGTTCTGGCTTCTGGGTACTGGACGTATCATGTTTGTTGGTTTGATCATCTCGAGTCATTCATTGTCAAGTAGTCATTAATGCGAGCAATTGAACCATTATGATCGTCTGACGGATCACAGAGGCTGTGTCTATGTGTATGGCATGTATGGGGATCCCCATGTGGCCATATGAGCATATGGAGGCCTCTCGCCATCAACGCGTTACGCTCCAGCCATTAGCCGTCAGATCTCCTCCAGCTTCAGCCAGCTTCCACTTTCCAGTCTGGCTAAGCCCCCGCGGCCTCAGTACCAGTCTCCAGTCCCCTTCCGTACGTCCGTCCCATCCATCTCCAGCCCATCTCCAGCCCATCTCCAGCCCCTTCCCCTCAACCCGCCCTGTAGAATGTGCGCGTAGCCCTCCCCTCCCCTCCCCTCCCCTCCCCCGCAGCATGTTTAGTCTCCTTGATCCTTGAGCCTAGTACAACTCCTATTACTCTATTCTTACTCTATTCGTACTCTATTCCTCTGTCACCCCGCACCACGGACACCCCCCCCATCTCCGCTGAATCTCCGCTGACGCCATCAGTCTCGATCAAGTGATCGGCAACCTTGTCACCTCCCTCTTCATCTCATCTCCCACTCCCACTCACACTCACTCACTCACTCACTCACAACCATGGCTGTAAGCCCCTCCCCTCCCCCGCTCACACAGTCCACCGGCCCAGCGTACAACTACACCGTCAAGATGACGTGTGGCGGATGTTCCGGCGCTATTGAGCGCGTCTTGAAGAAGAACATTGAGGCGCGTGAGTGTGTGTGTGTGGGGGGGTGGGGAGAAGTGGAGTGAGGGGTGTACATCTGAGGAGGGCGGGTGAGGCATGAGGGGCTGAAGCGCGGGTTTGGGCGGGGCAGAGTTGGGTGACGGGGCACGGCGGCACCTGAGATGGGGAGGTCGGGATGGGAGGGGGAAGGGCAAGGCGCGCGAAGCGTGCTGACATCTTCGTATCGTGCCATCTCCTTCTACGCGCCCGCTTGCCTGTCCGCGTCGCCTTGGCGTTGTCGCGTCGTCTTCGCGTCGTCTTCGCGTCGTCTTCGCGTCGCCTTCGCGTCGCCTCCGCCTTGCTGCTCGCTCTCGCTCCGCCATCCTGTTCGCGTCTTCGCCGCCTCCGCCTCATCCGCCACGCCCACGCCACACCTTCCTCCCCCTCTCTCCTGTCTTCCCCACTGCCAACTCC